TTTCTCTCAAATACCTGTGTCAGCGGGAGATCAACCAAAAACTACTTTTAGTTGCCCTTTCGGTACTTTTGCTTATAGACGTATGCCTTTTGGTTTATGTAATGCACCTTCTACCTTTCAACAATGTATGATGGCTATATTCTCTGATTTTTGTGAAAAGATTTGTGAGGTATTCATGGATGATTTCTCCGTTTATGGATCCTCTTTTGATGATTGCTGGAGCAACCTTGACCGAGTTTTGCAGAGATGCGAAGACACTAGTCTCATCCTGAATTGGGAAAAGTGTCACTTTATGGTTAATGAAGGCATTGTTTTGGGGCATAAGATTTCCGAGAGAGGTATTGAAGTTGATAAAGCTAAAGTTGATGCTATTGAAAAGATGCCATGTCCCAAGGACATAAAAGGTATAAGAAGTTTCCTTGGTCATGCCGGTTTTTATAGGAGGTTCATTAAAGACTTTTCTAAAATCTCTAGGCCTCTGACTAATTTATTGCAAAAAGACATTCCTTTTGTCTTTGATGATGATTGTGTAGAAGTATTTGAAGTACTTAAGAAAGCTTTGATCATTGCACCTATTGTTCAGCCACCTGATTGGAATTTACCTTTTGAAATTATGAGTGATGCTAGTGATCTGTAGGTGTTGTTCTAGGGCAAAGAGTTGATAAGAAATTGAATGTTATCCAGTATGCTAGTAAGACTCTTGATACTGCCCAGAGAAATTATGCTACTACTGAAAAAGAATTCTTAGCAGTTGTGTTTGCATGTGATAAGTTTAGACCTTATATTGTTGATTCCAAAGTTACTATTCACACTGATCATGCTACTATTAAATATCTTATGGAAAAGAAAGATGCTAAGCCTAGATTCACTAGTAGAGTGCCCGTGCGTTGCCACGGGCTTCTGAAATAGTTTGTTGAAGTCACATAAAGATAATGCATGCTAAATATCGCGTGTAGAGACAATATAAAAGGATCACAATTGCATAACAATTGAAGTCCAATTCACTTGTAATGTAAACTCATAACAAGATATCAAATTGAGAACGTATATGTATAAAGTAATGATCCAAATAAAAATATATTACAGAATATTGAGATCTACTTGATGCGCTTAAGAAATTCTCGTACAATATCAGGCAAGTTGTCTTTAGCTTCATTCGCACGATGTTTGAGCAAGTATAATAAAAACCGCTTCCTCAACTCATACCCATCCTGCAAAAGCAATATACATAGTTAGGACGAATACTTCACATGGAAGATTTAAAAACATGTGTAATGCACAATACTCACCGCACAAACCGGTTGCACAAGGTCTTTACCGTTTCACCAGAGCATAAAATGAAAGACATAAAAACCTGACAAATCCCTGCAATTTACTAAATTGTTATTGTATTAAATATGGTGATAATAAAAATAAATGTTTGTATGATAAATTTATTACCCGTCTATGCTCGTTGGAATACCATTAGGAAATACACGTTCGCATTTTGATATATCAGAATGCCATCCTGGTTGCTTTATTTCGAGTGCTTCTTTGAATTCCCTCGCAAAACTTTTTAATTTCACTAAGTGCCTCAAAATTTTCATCTCCGTCGTTTGTATTGTACGAATAGGATCCAGAATAGATACATGACATGCCTCTTTTTCGATGACGTACAAGATGTATCGACGATGGATTCATATGGAAGATAAATCTACAAGTGGTAGGTATTACAGACAACAATAAACCATGACAAACAACGGAAAAAATACCTTACTTACCATGTTGCACGATATTTTGTTGTTGTCTATCCCATGCCAGCTATCAAACAAAGTTGCCAACTTCTGAATAGTTTCCTTATCGCAAAAACTTTTGACTCTCGTGTTGAATCCCACAGCATGGACTGAGTAAAAAATACTATTTAAAAACATGTTCATACTAATGATGTTGAATGAAGAATTATGATAACTTACACAAAATTGTAGATCCATGTAGTGTATTGGAGGGTCTGTGAACAATACTCCCTCGTCGCATGCCAGAATACGCACAGCAATATTGAAACAATCATTGTCCATAGACTGCTCCATGTTAAGTATGCTTTGAAGTTTTTTGAGACTTAAGCCCATTGGACGGGGTGTCGAGCTTCGGTCCCATTCTTTTCTGAGAATTGGATGGTAAGAATAACAACAGTGTATACTGGCACCTTACATATTGATAAATGATACTTACTCCAAACACTTGGCATCATCAATGGACATGATATAGTTGCAAAGGCCGACAAGCAATTCACATTGATCCGTGGGCATGTTGGGGATTGTGCTAGGATGTTTGTCTTTAATGTCTGGTTGATGGTATATTGGACATCATTTTAGCTTATTCTGTTCTGAATCGAGCAAAATGACAACTAATTTTCGTCGAAAGTGCTTGATATCCTCCTGCAAGATATACAAAAAATCGATATAACATTATTCCAATAAAATAATGAGATAATGTATAAAAGGAAATACCTGGGTGAACTGATCTGTTAATACATCTGCTGTCCAATATTCCATAAAATTTAGCATAAATAGTCCACAAGATGCGCTATAATATCATAAAAAATACTTCAGAATATCACACATCTGAATCAAATAAATAGACCATTTCAAAAAAAATTGTGTTCATTATACCCACATGGCTTGAATCAACTAATAGATACAGTGCGACATTTTACTATCAATATGTTATACTATATTATATTTTTATGTTGATGAGTACCAAAGAAAATAATTTTCAATTTGTGACAAGTGCTTACCCATCCGTTTGTTTTGCCTCTAGGAACTGTTCTACGACATTTCATTTTGTAACATTGAGATCAGACCACTCATGATCTTTATTAAACTCCAGACTTTGTTCTCCAAGTTTCAAACGATTCTCAAGTCCTAGTAACTATTTTATATATGGAAAGTAGGTTATGGCAAATAAACATATGTCAAGAGTACCAAAAAAGAATAGTAGTTACCGTAATAGTAAGGTCACTCCGATTGATCCGAGAACCAAGCGAGTCCAATACTTGAATCTCACGTTTTTGGGCATTGACGACTGCCAGATACCAATGACTCTGCTCAATGTTAATCGGAATGAATAGCTGGTGTAAAAATCATATATGTTGTAGTCGTAATTAGATATAAATTATAACAAATCATTATACACATGGATTAATTAAAAAAATACATCATGATAAGCATGGATGATGAGGCGAGACTAACCATATCTTTTTGTACATAAGTATTAACATGATGTACGATGCGGCGATATTTTGATGGGTCTATGTCTCTTTCTCCATCTTCTTATATCTGGCCAGAAACGAACATGCTAATAATATGTACCTTTGCACCCGCCCTGTCTCGTAGATGGTCGTGAGCCAGCATGCAATATATGTAAGCATTTATCACCTGCAATTCCATGTATGGATTATATCTATGTTTTACACGATATTATATATTGTTTATATTAATAATCACAAATTTTATGCAATTGGTCTTACACCATCGTGTAAGAACACATCATCCTTCATAAGACATTGCAGATCGTCGTTTGATAACAAGGCATCTACGATGTCCACGAATATGGTTTTCTTGTGGGCAGACATGATTGATTCGATGACTGTAATATCTCTAGGGGTACAAACATAGTCTGTCGGCATCATTATTATTATTATTATTATTATTATTATTATTATTATTATTATTATTATTATTATTATTATTATAGTGCCTGATCTATCTAAGTAGTACAGAGCTGATTCGGCTAACGCTACAGATCTGTACGGGACAGGGACACCTAATCGTGATTATTTCCAACAGAGGACGGAGCAGGGGCCGAGCCAGCGTATAATTTCTATGCATTGCAATAGGAGAAAGAAATGTAACCAAACTCTTAGCCAATAAGCACGACTCAAGAAAAAGTATCACCGCTTATCCTCTTTCTCACCCTCACTAATGGTGGTGATGTTTACTTGATCATAACGCCTTCGAATGTGCTCAAACCCACGATAATTAGCTCGATCACCACATGGCACACTTGTCAAGCGCAAGGGGATGTTAAACACTTCCAAAAAAATCGTCAGAGTGTATGTGCGGGTCACCCTCCACGGGCTGCTTTTATCCTCTAAAATGAAATTAACCTTAATTCATTATCCCATGGAATAGTCATGCTAACCTTTTGTGATGCTTCGAATTAAGAAAGTGACCTCATCTCTCCTTCCTCCTAACATCGGTACCCCTTGCCATAAACCAGGAACAGATGATTATGTGACTTGTGATGGTTCATCTGTCTTTCTTTTGTGTGCATCTTTTTTGGATTGTACATATTCATATGATTCTATTACGGCTCAAATAATCAAAAATGTATCACAGGAATTCCACCCATAAATTTCAATAATAGATTTCTTATGCTCCTAATTTTGTATGAATTTAATCATCTAATTCATACACATAGGACTAAAAACCTAAATGATAGTGCCATACTTCTGCACATAAATTCACAAGTTAACTAACACCAGGATCAACGATAAGCTAAATGAGATCAAACTTGCATTACCGAGCAGTTCAGAGCTGGAGAGTGTACATTCCCTGATGCTTCTACCTTTTATCATGTTCAAACATGTGCATTCCAATGTACGGAGGACTCAATGAACGTGTGTTTATGGCAAAGGGGGCTTCAGGGCAGTGTGCAGAAGGCACGTGGATCCCTCAATGGCGACGTGCGACAACGACCGAGATAGATGCAGCAGCAGCATGAGAGAGATGCAGCAGCAGCGGTAAATTTATTGATGTACATGGTGATAAAAACACAAAACAATTACTGGTTCGTATTCATATTTAGGTCCATTTCAATCGGCAGACATAACACAATTTTTTTATGTACAGAGATATTCCAAAAGGTTCAGTATTATATCGGAAAAGGGACACAGACGAAAGGAAAATATACATATTGAGCAGATTTTACAGCCAGACAAGCACCAGCAATAAAATTGATGCCTAATGAAAATGTTTTACAACCTTCATACCAATCCACAGTGAGAGAACATCTGGCAACCACAAAATCCATAGGAAGAAACGATCAAGAGAACATCTAGTAAAAAGGATGGCTCGCATCTCTTGTCCGATTGGTGCAAAGAAGAGCAAGGGATTGGTTTTGGGGAGCAACTCACGGAAGTATATCTGCATTCCCGATTGGAGCAACTTAGGGGAGTATATCAGCTTCAGCATCAACCCAATCGCTCCATCAGGCATACCTACAGCATTGCCCCGATTCAGATGCAAGCTTATATGCTGTAACACAAATTTGAAGAAACCCCTGAATAGAATAAAAGGTTCTACTCTTCACAAAAGAGCTGCATGATTTTCTAACCATACATATAAATCAATAAATATTTGTTGTAATGGAATTTACTATCACATTTGCGCTACCACCATCAGAGCAGAGCAACAGGCGCAGCTAGGAAATCAAAATAGGTACAGTAACGATCACTAAGAAAAGCAAGAACATATATATTCAATGTATGCCTGCAAAAGGAAGAATATCGATATGACAGAAATTCAGCAGTATAATATTATGTTGGACTTCAATGTTTAAGGTCAAAATTCTATAAGTTGGCTCTTATTTTACATAGATAAAAATGTCTAATTATTCAGATAGTGTAGCTTAAAAAATGAATTCTATAGTACACTCCAGCACCACATGGTTCATTCATAGTTTATGGAGCACTAACATCAAGGCTACCTAGTGTGTTTCCCAAGAAAATCTCTCATCATACGGGATGTTCACTAAGTATTTCATATGCCCTTTTTTTTGGTAAGATAAAGTCAAGGGGTGAGGGGACAGCTCAAAGCAGGAGATATGGTAAGTACACGCTGAACAGAGCACTAAAATAGCAATAGTTAAACATGCTATAAATAATACTCGTATTTCAAGCTAAAACATGAAGCTTAACATAAATCTACTAAGTAATATATTCAAGCTATGGTTAATTAAACTACCTTGCAGAATAAGGCCATTCATCATGGATCCTTGCACATTTCGTCTTCCACTTGCAGCATTGACCCTAAAATCGATGTGTGATGAGATAATCGGCACCGACAACCCACCAGAGCTTATATTTATTCCAATGTTACTTCTGCACACAATGTTTGTAATACGTGGACCCAAAGCTGGGTTTCCAGGAACATAATTTCGATTACCACTGGTGGCCAAGTTTGAGGATAAACCTTGAATGGTACCACCCATATTCATTCCACTTCTAAATGCTTGACCTCCACCAACATTCATTACTCTACCACTGACACCTGAATGTGCATGAGGAATCTGCAAAAGAAAAAATAATACCAAAAAAGTAAAAATCATCATCCTCCACATGAAACCAAAGCAAGAGTATGTTATAATTTATCAAGCCAACAAAATTGTTCCTTAGATTGCAAACCAATTAACATACATATTCATGATGTTGAACGTATATAAATAACAATGCCGCAAACCTCCACAAAGGTGGGCATTCGAACCTGAGAATGACAACAGGAAGGCTGTTTGTAGCAAATCTCCCAGAAATGCTCCCTCTGGGTTGTTGGACCCCAGATGATGGAACCCTACTCTTCACATCATTCCTTTTTGCAAGTGATCCAGGAATATTTTGGAAGACTATAATTTCCATGAATGTTGTGAAGACCTGAAAATGCAAAAAATGATAAGAGATAAAAACGTTTAATCAATGGGCGTTCACTATGTCAATGCGCTAACCGAGTTAGCGCACCATATGCTCACCAGAGTGATGAAAACCTTGAAATAATCCAGATTGACCGGAAAAGGATGTTGCAAATGGTCACTTGGACGAGTCTAGAAGGTTCGATGTGGGATGTGGAACTGTTAAGATTAAACTACCAAGGAAGAAAGCATCAAGTTATCAAGACAAATAATAACAAAAGGTAGTAAACAGACAGAATTGGAAAGTGTATGTGCACAGTGAATCAATGGTAGTCCAGTAGAAGGATAAGCAAGTACATTCAGCAAAATGGACATTGTTGACAACTGAAAAGCAAGTCAACACTCAAGGTCAAACAAATTAAATTACTCATAAATATTTAAACCAGACAAATTAAATTGAACTCTCTCTCTCTCTCACACTTAATTCAGGGCATTTCATTAATATATGTTGCTCCTTTCAGTTCAGGGCCTTCCTTTTCTTGTGCCAGCACACATGCCACCTAAGTCGATATGGCTGAAATACGTGCCATCACACATGCCACCTACATAGAAATGGCTGAAACACCATTCTAAGGAATACATTACACATAAGCTTGATGACAGAACTACTGCCAATGTAAAATATTTGTAAGCCTAATTGAGAACTATGTTAGAAAATAAAATAAAATAAAATTGTCACTATTGTATTATTATAAAACAAAATTATCACTCGTGTTCTTGGTAAACACGGTGAGATGTAAACAGTCAATGAGATTATTAGAAGTGATAAAAATGGAAATGCACAAGAAGTGCAACATATTAACAAAAAATTTAGAGCAAGGACTGACATGACGATAGGAAAAATGAATCAATGAGGTTATTAGAAGTGATAAAAAAAGAAATGCACAAGCAATGCAAAATACTAAAAAGAATTCTAGAAGGTTTCACATGACTATGGACAATTGATTTTTGCTTTCAGCGAATTCATGGAGACAACAGGTGGCTCTGAGCTTGGCAACCTAGCATGTACTGAATATATCTCTGAATGACTTACTGCAAGTGTGTGTCATTAAAGTAACGAAATTTTTCTTCACAAGCTTGATTCCTGATAAACAAGGGCCAATTCATTAGACTTATGGATAGAATATGGACCAAGTTGATGCAAAACATTACATATTACAACACCGCTGCCACTGCAATTCAGGCAACTCCTTGTGTGCAGCCTTGTTCTTCTGTATCTGCAACAAGTTTATTTGGTCCACAAATTGTTTGGCCGAATGCACTTATCAACACACAGGCAAGCTAGAAATCTTCGTATAGGGGGGATACCTTCTTCCTACATGAGATTAAAAAAATGTACATCAGACTTCAAAGCAAAACGATCCTCGGCCATCGAGAGAATCAAATTTCAGAGGACCACCAGGGGCCCCATCTTGTTGTGACTGGTAGTGAGGAGCAGCCTCGGAGTAGCGTCATGTATCATAAAAATCATGCTTGGAGTGAAAACAAACAAACTTGCATCATAATCTGCTACCAACTGTACACTGCATGTTACCTACAAAGCAAACTGAAAGAAAAGTATTTCTTGTTTGAGAACCGAAGAGACATGCACGCATATCATGGTATGGAAAGATAATAGAGTTGCAATCTGATGCAATCATCAAGACAGGTTTGAGTGTCGTGAGGATGGAGTCAGAGCTTCACGGCCACCTAAAGCGAAGAAGTGCAGTCGTATTGGATTTAACAGGAGCCGGTCCATCATCACCATACAGCAAGAGATGCAAGCAATTGGTCGCCGGGCCCACGCAGTCCCGACCATACATGCGATCGCAAACCTCGCAACATTAAGATCAGAACACAAAATTTGAATCAATTTGGTCCTCTTGTCCTGAGAGAATGAATGAATGAGCTTACCACATCTGAATCTGTTGTTGCCGCTGCATGTCAGGCTTATAGCGATATAACTTGCAGCCCTTGCTAAACAAGAATGACAGCCCCTTCCACTCTGAACCCATTGCACAAATCACAATTACACCCCACTCCATGAACACATTTAATTTGCATTCCAAGGTGCCAGATGATGCCGACGGCAAAGGGGTCGTGGCCGTAGATGATGAAGCAGAGGTCGGCGCTAACGAAGTCCATGAAGGCGCCGAAGATGGCCACTGGGTCCTGCCCTGCCATGTTGGCATCGCCGGGGAAGCCAGGAACGCATGGTTGGCTCTCATTAAATCAGAAACATTGTGTCAGTTATAAAATCCATGCAAAACATTACTTGACGATTCTTTGAACAACATGAGAGCTAAAACTAAGTTCAAGTGGCATCTATTCAAAAAATAATGTTCAGTATTGATCATGAATTGTTAAGCAAAAAGTAAGGAGAGCATGACAATGTTAATAAACAGCGACAGCGAACACACACACGCATGCTCAACAGCGTCAGGAAGCACACACATCAGCAGGAAGCACACACAGCGGCAGGGCACATCACGTACACATGCTGGGTACAAACGAACAATCTTAGTACACAAAAAATAGAGCAAAGATAAATAAGTTTGCTTTCTCAAGAAATAATTAGGGCTCACAGGAACTTCTCAACGTGCTTTTGTTGCACATTCTCTGATAAAATTTGCAGTGACCATTGCTCTACTTTGAGACTACAGAAAGCAAACACAAAGCGAACAGAAAGTGAACATACTTGTTCCTCTCGATTCAGGGCACGCCCTAACGGCGCTCCTCACTGTAAAAAGGAGCCCCAGGACCATGAACGATCAATCTAGATATTTATGTTACCTTCTAAAATCAAGGCCCTCGAGTTTCTTGAGAGCGGACTGTTTTTTAAAACCAAACCAGCACTCAGGTAGATAGAAACCATGCTATATGAATACCACCCTAGAACTACATCCTTTTCTTGCATTTCTTCTAAAACTTCTCCAACAACATTTATCTTGTTCAATGCCACACGGCTGGTCATTGGAAGGAAACATGTGAGGTTATCCGGCTTAATATTCTTCACCTTCATCTCCTCAAAAAGGCTACGGATATTCTGATGCTGGCCTAACTTCATGCAAATGGACATCAAACTATTGATGAGGCAGAGTACTGGCTGAGATGCCAAGTTCGTCCATCTTGCGATAAAGGTCTGGAAACTATCCTGTGTAAACCACCAATAACTGCGGTGTTGTGTATCGACAGATGATGAGCACCTTCAAAGAACACTTTAGGAGTAGAGATTACTCAATTAACTATGATTTAGCAAAACTGGAAGGTTATCATCAGCATGTCCTGACCTGGTGCCAGTTTCGGAAGTTTCTGTAAATATTGGAAGATATAACTGACATGAAGCAACATCAGGTATTCCCGTAGTAGCAACCTGCAATTATAGAAGTTGCATCAGAACAAATAGAAACAATCTAGTATTATGACGTTGCATCACAATATGAAGAGTGCCATCCTTTCTGGAGCTACGGCAGTCCTGAATCATTTAGTACTATATCTGTCTTTTGAGTTCATCGTCAGTCTTCTTCAGAAAAACATCACAAGCCCAACAAAAGCTTCATCTTCCACCAAAAGAGCACTTGCACCGTTGCCTTGCTAAAATGCTTCAGATTTGTTAACTTGATTGCTGTAGATTACCACACTGAACTGAAATAAATCAAAATAGGACAAACGAAATTAATATTTCAGGCGTCAAGTTAATAATCATGAAGAATTAGCATCTCTTTGAAGATTGTCCAGAGTGGAGTCAAAACAGATTTTGTTCTAGATTGACACTAAACATAACAAACACTTTTTTAAAAGCGTAATCTCGATAGTGAGAAACATCAGAAAGGGCATTAGACGTGTACACATATAGTCTTAGAAATATGTAACACCGGTAGTTCTCAAATTAGTCATTGCAGGAACTTTGCATTATCTGTTCACCGCGTCTACAATTTGACATGATTCATTAATTAAGTTGGCAGTTTTTAAAAGAGAATTGGCAGATGATTTTAACCTCTTACAACTTCTTGCTAATTGTCACCGACTAACAATCAAACAAAGACCTGCACGGTGCTTAACCAATAGTAATTCAGCAAATTACATGTTAACTGAAGCATCAAATTAATTGACAGATTCTTGCTCATGGTCAAAGACTAATAATCAAAGTAAATTGCCAGCATATGGATGCAGAGGCAGTTGGTTGTGGCGCCTTGGACCTCCTGACCCTGGGGCAAATGAGGTCTGAGTTGGTCCTCCAGCTGTCATACACAAAAGCTATGCGGAAATCACCTGTACACATGTGGTCTGACACATGAATGAATCTCCACGAATGAGACGAGCAGGTTAACCCTAAAATCAGATTCTTTGCCCAAAAAATCAATTTGACAAATCCAGCAATGGTAGCAGAGGGGGAGGGCTGGGCATCTTACTCGTGGACGTTGGTCTCAATGACCTGGCAGACGAAGAGGGAGATCATGGAGGTCTTGTCGGCCCCTGACTGGGCCTGGGCGATGACGCCGTGGACGGTGATGATTGGGATGACGGTGCGCTGCTGGATGGATACGCCATTGACGACGGCTGGATCTGGAGGGGAGGTGACGGCGCACTGC